TGATGTTCACTACCTTTGGACAATAACAGCTCATGAAGTGTATTTTATTGCTTTGTTTTCAGATTGGAGGAACAGGCTATATTTCAGGACCTTTTCATAGCCAAGGATGAAAACGTAGGAACATTTGTGGACTGTATACACTAATCAACCAAAAATGTAAGACTGCAGATTTTAAATGTATAATAACAGTAAACTTTTAGCCTGTAATAACAGCTTGCCTGACTGAATTGTATGCATTCTAGATTTTGTGGTGGGCAATGGTCAGCAGCCAGGGAGATCTCTCACAGATCCAGAAGCAAACTGGATGAGGAGGCTTGGAGCTAGCGGTGTGTAGACATGCAGTGCTGCTTAGTGCCCTTCGAGATAGTATGAGATATTTGCATAAGCTTTGTTCTTTCAACAAAGGCTGGCCAACAGACAATCACTTTTTTTCCATGGATGTAACCTGCAAGTACTGGCCATATCTTGAAAACTAACAAAAAGCTGTCCTGAGCTCCAACACCTGCTTAAAATGAAGCAATTTATCTCAATTTTCCATGGCAAAGCCCATGAATGTAAGTTAAGGAACAATGACCAGGCATTGTATAACCTTGCTGGTACATACTGCATAAACATCTTTGACACAGTTGATGTTGTTTGTGGATGTTTGGGCAGATACAGATGGACAAAGCTTGTGCCAAGGCTCATTGCAAGATCAGAAAGGAGAAAACATCTTAGCTTTAGAAGATGTTGGTCACTTGAAGACTGATACAGACACAGAAGTTCTGTCTTTGGAAGAGATCCTGTCCGGTCTCTTCCAACATTGCCATGGCAACAATCACACAGTGGTAAGTAAACATACACTAATATGTTTTATACTGTCATCATAGCTGACAGATAATGTGACTAGATACTCCAGGTGTTGACCTCAACTTACAAATTTAAACTTTTAATGAGTTGATTTGTCCTTTTCATAAATGCATTTCAGACTCTCAGTCTTCACACAAGAACAAGGGCAATCGATGACATCATGATGGTAAAGAGACTGGAAGAGGAAAAGAGGATCTTTGTTGATGGACCATCGTTGGAAATCTCTGTCATCCTATGAAGACACTCTAAAGGAGTTTCCCACCTGTTATCAGGAGGTAAATTTAAAAGTAGGTTTTTAAGTAATGCATAATCATACCAAAAGTAAAAGCATCTAAATTTTGTATTTGTATTTTTATTTATGTTCAACTTTAAAGGTTTGTCCTGTGCCCTAACTGACGAAGGTCCAAGAGGTCTCCAGAGCATCATCCTCAGAGAGCTGCAGCACCAACAGATGAAGCTGCAGCTGCTGTATTATCTACAGCAGGGGAGCCCAAAGTGGGTCCTGGAGGCCCGGCATCCTGTATGTTTAAGTTCTCTCCCTGGTTTAACACACCTGCATCAAATGATGGCTCGTTAGAAGGCCTAAGAAGAACATTGACAAGCTGAAAAGGTTGTTTCTACCACCAGGGAGAGAATAAAACATGCAGGATGCCGGGCCACTAGGACCAACTTTGGACACCCCGATCTACAGACTTTGTCAGGAGCAGAGAGCGTTACCTTTGACGACGACTTCAGTAGTGACTGATAATAGTCATATATAGTTTGCTCATAAGTCAATTTGTTCTTGTGCTTTCATGTTTCCAAATGGGAAGTGTTTTATCTTGTTGATTTTTTTTTTAAATAGTTAATTTGTTTGTGCCTTTGTACTTTCTAAAAGGGCTTACTAGAGCTGTAATTACTTCCACATGCATGTCATTGAGTGTGTTTCTTTTTCACTTATGTTTCTGCACATCTAGTGTATTTTCTAGGTAATAAGATAAATTGTAGTTAATTTAATAGTTTTACTATTTTTACTTCAAGTGGAGTAATAACACTTGTGCTTATGTTGAGCAGTTAAAAATGGCTACAATGCTACGTTAAGTAGTCCCAGTGATTCTGTAGTAACTAACATAGCCAAGACATCTTTTTGGATCTTCTACTTTTTTTATTAATATGTGCAGCTCTGACTTATTTCTTAAGCCAAAGAATGCACAAAGTGTGTACTGGTGGAACAATTTCTTATCCTTGGTCAATTGAAAGCGGTTAAGGATGACTGTCAATGTCTTTATTAAAAAGAAATAAGTTAAATAAAATTTCAGTACTTGTCAAAGTGATCTTTTAATGCGGTATTCAGGTATGATTTTGTTTAATGAAATGCATTTATACAAATCGTAAAGGCATGATTTTATAAACAAAACAGCATCTAATTTAGTGGATTCTTCAGGACATGTTCTGAATCCATCAGCTGATGACAAGTCAGTAATGAAGCATATTAAAATGTTGGATGAACAAGAAGTGGTTTCAAGAAATTGTCAGGAGAAATAAGTTGTTCAGCTTTTAGGTACTCTTTAAGGACATATGAAAATGAGTTATAATTGCCTACATACAGTGGAGGCAATTATAGTGGGAGCCATGTCAGCTGCTGGTGTTGGTCCACTGTGTTTTATCAGGGGCAGGTCAATGCAGCAGCTATCAGGAGATTCTGGAGCACTTCATGCTTCCCATCTGGTGAAAAGCTTTATGGAGATGAAGATTTCATTTTTCAGCACAACCTGGCACCTGCTCACAGTGCCAAAACCACTGGTATTACTGACCATGGTGTTACTGTGCTCAGTTGGCCTGCCAACTTTCCTGACCTGAACCCCAGAGAGAATCTGTGGGACATTGTGAAGAGAAAGTTGAGAGACGCAAGACCCAAAACTCTGGATGAGCTTCAAGCCGCTATCGAAGCATCCTGGGCCTCCATGCCGCATTGAAGGCTGCAAAAGGATTCCTGACCAAGTATTGAGTGCATAACTGAACACAATTATTTGAAGGTTAACTTTTTTGGTATTAAAACACATTTCTTTTATTGTTTGGATGAAATATGCTAATTTTTTGAGACAGGGATTTTGGGTTTTCATGAGCTGTATGCCAAAAATTATCAGTATTAAAACAATAAATGACCTGAAATATTTCAGTTGGTGTGCAATGAATCTAAAATATATGAGTTTAATTTTTATCATTACATTATGGAAAATTATGAACTTTTTCACAATATGCTAATTTTTTGAGAAGGACCTGTAGACCTAGCGTTATTTATGCACGTCTAGGTTCAACAGTTGACAGGTGAAAAAGGAAGCTGACTAAGGTTTGGTAGAACTTGCTGTCGGTGTCATTTAGTTGAAATGCTTCAGATTTGGACCTAACTTTGTTTTTAAAACAGAGCGTCCCAACTTAGTGAAATAATCTTAACATTAACTTGGTATTTGGATGCATTTACAAACCAAAAGGGGTAGACCTCTATTTCAACTACAGTAATTAGATGGACACAACTTAACTTACATTCTCTTTATGCCTTTTCTCTGCAAACTTATGAAATGATGAAATGAACCACAGAGGCCTGAGGCCTCAGGCAGATCATTCTTTTTCCACTAGAACAGATTTAGTCGGGCTACAGAGCTCAATTCTAGAGAAAATGCATCTTTGAACCATTACTTTCATAAAGCATTTAAGCCATCTCTACCACTCAATTTGAGATTAGTGATGGAGTTAGGGTTAACCCTAACCCCAATCTAGCCCTACATTGATTTTATATACAGTTTAACGTAGTGTTTCTCTAGGAGAAAAGCACTATGTCAATCAAACATAATTTAGATTACTATACTAATGTAGTTTAAATTACAGTAGACTCAGACTGATTCAATATTAATTTACTAAACTGTAATGTAGAAGGTCTTCAATCTGGGTTTCCTTTCATACACAAAATAAGCTGCAAACTTTAACTTAAATAATTAACCTTAGACAGGTAAACATGCTATTCAAAATACTTCTCCATAAAACTTTTTTTATGTGTAAATACTGATCACACTGAATAAAACACATAATAGCTTCACACAGTTCTACAAGTGTGTAGGAAACGAATCTGTTACACAGTTTAACCTTGCGTCATGCCTTAAAGACAACACACAGGGCAAACTTGACCAGCCTACAATGACGACCAGCTTGTCAGGCAAAAAGTCTTTATAAATCCCATCATGACTCTTTCTGTATCAAACGAACAGTTTCACTACATTTTGAAGTAACATTTCTGAGTGTATCGTTGGCCTTGATCTTATTTGGCAACAGACAAATACGGTTGTCATCTTATTGAAAATCTTATTACCTCCCACAACGTGCTGATAGTGTTCCTTTCTTCTCTTAATTAGTCTGCCGTACGATGGCTGCGTTCCATTTCAGATTCCCGCCGATCAGCCGTACAATTTCTAGAACCAACTATGCGGAGCTGGGATGCTTATAAAAAAGTCTATCTATCTATCTGTCACAAATGCCATACACAATTTTAAACACACAAAATATACATTTGCATTTATATATCTATATACATATATCTATATAGATATACCTGTCCTGATATATATCTACAGATATATATATATATATATATATATATATATATATATATATATATATATATATAAATTTATATTTTGTGTGTTCTTCAAAATTGTGTATGTTATTTGTGACATAGGTTTATTAAAATGTATTGTTCTAATACAGTCAGTTGATCTGGACATTACAATCTATTTTTATTATGCTCTTCATCAATAACTTCACTTAAAGTTGCTGTGTTTAAAAATAAATGTACTGCATTTGAAAGCAATTTTATTATAACATTTTGCAAATACAGTCTTGATTGACAAAATCCATGACACAAAAAATATAATATTAAAATAATAGCTTTTTGAGTTAAAAAAACACTTCTAATTAGTTATATTAAAATCAAGTTGTGCTTATTTTCTTATGTATTTTTATAGACTTTACTTTGTACATCCGCATCAAAACACTCAAAAAGAAATGTGTACAATACCATGTTTAAAGTTTTTAAGACTTTAGGTCATATTTACTGAACAAAATCTACAAACAATTCTGTTCTAAATTTCAAGACTTAATACAGGCACAATACCTGCCTGATGCAGTGACTCAATCAGCCTCACTTAGTCTTTAACAGAACTTGACAAAAATGTGTCAAGTTGTGTAACATAAGCTTACATAACTATTATATTACAACCATAACATTCATTTCAGTGAATGGCCGAAAACAATATTACACAGAAAACTTCGTAAAATGGTCAAACTGCAGTAAAAAAAAAGAAAATAAATTAATACTTTGTAATACAAAAAAGAAAAAGTAACATCATGGAAGGACTTGTTCGCTGTCTGAAGGAAGTGGCACTTGGTGGACAGCAACATGAGAGGATTTACTTGCAGGTTCCCAGGTATCATCCCAGATTTTTCCGCTAGAAAAGAACAACAACAAAATAAGGATGTGGATTTTTTGTGCTGTAAGGTTCACAAATCTCTCTTTCTAAGATGTACACCTGACTTTAAAAGGAGGTAATGTAGCCAAAGTAGGTTCTTTGCCTACATCCACCCAAATGCCAACTAGTACTTACATCTTGTTTTGTCCCAAATATACAATATTATCTTGACTTATTAAGTGTTAAATGATAAACTGACTGCAGTCATTTTTACCACAACACAAACAATGAAAATCTCTCGTAGTGCTTCAGTTTCTTAGAAAAATCTAAAAATCAAAACAGAAAAAAAGTGACAGTTTCAGATTAAATGTCCAACTTATTTGAATTATAAAAGGCACAGTGTTAAATAATAAGTGTTGAATCACCTTTAAAAAGTCCAAATATCAAAATCAGCATTCCTTTGCTGATAAACAGCCTAATTACGATATTTGGAGTTCTATCTCTGTATTTCTATGTTTCTGTGCACATGCTGACTTTGTGTGAATTTGTTTCACCTAAAGATGTTGTGACTTATGTGGTATAAGTATTTATAAGTAAGTTGTAATGCCCGTTTTTGTCCTCATAAAAAAATAAAGACAAATATAAAGCCAGAAAAGGAGCCTGGTAGGCCAGTAATTAAAGCCACAAAGTTTATAAGTAAACAACTGTGCTTATTATTTATCACCCCTCCCCCCATCTACTCATCTTCACACGTGGCAATGTCTCTCAGTGTATCTTGGCATGTTTGACTGGGGTGGGGATACACTGTCACAGGGTGGATTAGTTAAACTTTTAGACTTACCGCATTAGTTCTACGCCCAGGGATTGATTTTGGGTACTACATTACCACCAACCTAAATAAGAAAAGGAGAAAAAAAAACAATTTTAAAAACAAAATAAGAAATGAAGTCAAAGCATGTACACCTGAAAACTGAAAACTAGTGTGGTGACTGTCATATTTTATAATCCTTCTAAACTTTACATGGATTTACACATTTTCTCAAATTAGTTTAACATTAACTTTAACCACTTTACACTGGCCACATAAATGGAAACTAAGCCCAAAACAAGTTGTCTTTGCTTATAAACGGTCTCTATAGTTTTTCTGTTTCTGTGAGAATTTTGACATTTTAGGGCTGGACTCCTTAAGTCGCAAGTTCAGTTTTCTTCTGGGTTCGATTCTCGGCCCGAGGTCTTTCTGCATGGAGTTTGCATGTTCTCCCTCTGCATGGTGGGTTCTTTCCGGGTTCTCCGGCTTCCTCCCACAGTCCAGAAACAAGACAGCCAGGTTAATTGGTTTCTCTAAATTCTCCCTAGGTGTGAGTGTGTGTGTGTGTGTGTGTGTGTGCATGGTTGTGTGTTCTGTCTATTTCTGTGTTGCCCTGTGACAGACTGGCAACCTGTCCTGGGTATACCCTAGCAACACTCCCGACCACAATAGGGACAAGGATATCACAGTCTCTTCCTGGTTCTCTGGTATCATCATTGGATGCTCCTCAGCTATGGTCTCTGTCTGTTCAAAGATCAGGTTCTCAGCTCTTTACTTCTCTTCATCTGGCGTGCAACAGCAATAAATAACAAACAGGAGAAAATAAATTTGCCTGCACTGACGCAAGTTCATTTTTAATTCAAGTAAATGACCTAGCTGCAATCAGTGTATTCAGACAGGGTTCAGAACTTTAAAGATCACAGCCTAGGGGCACTGATGTTTTTAGCAACCCTCCAATATTACAAAGTGGCAACAACAAGCATGACTATAAACATTATTATGTGACTCTACCATGGCTAATTAAACGTATTAAGCACAGGTACAGTGTACAGGAACAATTAGCCTCCAAGAGGCTAATTTAGCTAGCTTCCACCGTATATTTTCCGGCAGAAAAAATGTTCCGGCAGAAAAAATGTTACAAACGTGTCTTCAACCATTCGCATCACAGTCCTACTGCCATTAAGTCCTAAAACTACCATCAGTAATTTTATAACGTAACACTTTGGAGTTATTTTTGGNCAACATTTCTGAGTGTATCGTTGACCTTGATCTTATTTGGCTACAGACAAATACGGTTGTCATCTTATTGAAAACCTTACTACCTCCCACAACGTGCTGATAGTGTTCCTTTCTTCTCTTAATTAGTCTGCCGTACGATGGCTGCGTTCCATTTCAGATTCCCGCCTATCAGCCGTACAAGAATTTCTAGAACCAACTATGCTGAGCTGGGATGCTTATAAAAAGTCTATCTATCTATCTGTCACAAATGCCATACACAATTTTAAACACACAAAATATACATTTGCATTTATATATCTATATACATATATCTATATAGATATACCTGTCCTGATATATATCTACAGATATATATATATATATAAATGTAAATTTATATTTTGTGTGTTCTTCAAAATTGTGTATGGCATTTGTGACATAGGTTTATTAAAATGTGCTGTTGTACTACAGTCAGTTGATCTGGACATTACAATGTATTTTTATCATGCTCTTCATCAATAACTTCACTTAAAGTTGCTGTGTTTAAAAATAAGTACTGCATTTGAAAGCAATTTTATTATAGCATTTTGCAAATACAGTCTTGATTGACAAAATCCATGACACAAAAAAGATATTAAAGTAATAGCTTTTTGAGTTAAAAAAAAACCCCACTTCCAATTAGTTATATTAAAATCAAGTTGTGCTTATTTTGTTATGTATTTTTATAGACTTTACTTTGTACATCCACATCAACATTAAAAACACTCAAAAAGAAGTGTGTACAATACCATGTTTAAAGTTTTTAAGACTTTAGGTCATATTTACTGAACAAAATCTACAAACAATTCTGTTCTAAATTTCAAGACTTAATACAGGCACAATACCTGCCTGATGCAGTGACTCAATCAGCCTCACTTAGTCTTTAACAGAACTTGACAAAAATGTGTCAGTAAACAGCCCAACATAAGCTTACATATATTACAACCATAACATTCATTTCAGTGAATGGCCGAAAACAATATTACACAGAAAACATCGTAAAATGGTCAAACTGCAGTAAAAAAAAAAGAAAAGAAATTAATACTTTGTAATACAAAAAAGAAAACGTAACATCATGGAAGGACTTGTTCTCTGTCTGAAGGAAGTGGCACTTGGTGGACAGCAACATGAGAGCATTTACTTGCAGGTTCCCAGGTATCATCCCATATTTTTCCGCTAGAAAAGAACAACAATAAAATCAGGATGTGGATTTTTTGTTCTATAAGGTTCACAAATCTCTCTAAGATGTATACCTGACTTTAAAAGGAGGTAATGTAGCCAAAGCATCTTCTCTGCCTACATCCACCCAAATGCCAACTAGTACTTACATCTTGTTTTGTCCCAAATATACAATATTATCTTGACTTATTAAGTGTTAAATGATAAACTGACTCCAGTCATTCTTACCACTACACAAACAATGAAAATCTCTTGTAGTGCTTTAGTTTCTTAGAAAAGTCTAAAAATCAAAACAGAAAAAAAGTGAGTTTCAGATTAAATGTGTGGCTTATATTAATTATAAAAGGCATAGTGTTAAATAATAAGTGTTGAATCAGTGTGTCCAAACATCAAAATCAGCATTCCTTTGCTGATAAACGGCCTAATTTCGATATTTGGAGTTCAATCTCTATATTTCTGTGCAAATGCTGACTTTTTGTATGAATTTGTTTCACCCAAAGATGTTGTGACTTATGTGGTACAAGTATTACTGATTCCTGTTGTAATGCCCGTTTTTGTCCTCATAAAAAAATAAAGACAAATAAAGAAAGGAGTCTGGTAGGTCAGTAATTAAAGCCACAAAGTTTATAAGTAAACAACTGTGGTTATTTTTTGCAGACCACTGCCTCTCTTATCACCCCTCCCCCCCATCTACTCCACACGTGGCAATGTCTCTCAGTGTATCTTGGCATGTTTGACTGGGGTGGGGATATACTGTCACAGGCTGGATTAGTTAAACTTTTAGACTTACCGCATTAGTTCTACGACCAGGGATTGATTTTGTGTACTACATTTCCACCAATCTAAATAACAAGAAAAGGAAAAAAAAAACTATTTTAAAAACAAAAGAAGAAATGAAGTCAAAGCGTGTACACTTGAAAACTGAAAACTAGGGTGGTGACTGACATATTTTATAATCCTTCTAAACTTTACTCTTCTTTACATGGATTTACACATTTTCTCAAATTAGTTTAACATTAACTTTAACCACTTTACACTGGCCACATAAATGGAAACTAAGCCCAAAACAAGTTGTCTTTGCTTATAAACGGTCTCTATAGGTTTTCTGTTTCTGTGAGAATTTTGACATTTTAGGGCTGGACTCCTTAAGTCACGAGTTCAGTTTTCTTCTGGGTTCGATTCTCGGCCGGAGGTCTTTCTGCATGGAGTTTGCATGTTCTCCCTCTGGTGGGTTCTTTCCGGGTTCTCCGGCTTCCTCCCACAGTCCAGAAACAAGACAGCCAGGTTAATTGGTTTCTCTAAATTCTCCCTAGGTGTGAGTGTGTGTGTGTGTGTGTGTGTGCATGGTTGTGTGTTCTGTCTGTTTCTGTGTTGCCCTGCGACAGACTGCCAACCTGTCCTGGGTGTACTCCAGCAACACTCCTGACCACACTAGGGACAAGGGTGTAAGAAAATGGATGAATCCACAGAAAACAAAACTTACGCCACCCTGACTTAAGGAGACGGCATGGTCAGCAGGTGACATGAATGCAGATGTGGCTGATCTACGGGCGGGGCTGGGGGAAGGAGAGATGACGGAGCGGGAGGAGAGGCAGTTGGAGAGATGCTTCTGGGTCTTTTCTTCTTCTGAAAAGACTGAGAGGATGGGACAACAGGATGAGAAAGAGGAACAAGATCAGCCACTATTACAGTCTCTTCCTGGTTCTCTGGTATCATCATTGGATGCTCCTCAGTAAGCATCCCAGGCTGCTCCTGACCTATGGTCTGTCTGTTCAAAGATCAGGTTCTCAGCTCTTTACTTCTCTTCATCTGGCTTGCAACAGCAATAAATAGGAGGAAAGAAATTTGCCTGTACTGACGCAAGTTCATTTTTAATTCAAGTAAATGACCTATAGCTGCAATCAGTGTATTCAGACAAAGTTCATAAACAAAATTTAAAGATCATCACAGCCTAGGAGCACTGATGTTTTTAGCAACCCTCCAATATTACAAAGTGGCAACAACAAGCATGACTATAAACATTATGTGACTTTATCACGGCTAATTAAACGTATTAAGCACAGGTACAGTGTACAGGAACAATTAGCCTCCGAGAGGCTAATTTAGCTAGCTTCCACCGTATATTTTCCGGCAAAAAAAATGTTACAAACGTGTCTTCAACCATTCGTATCACAGTCCTACTACCATCAGTAATTTTATAACGTAACACTTTGGAGTTATTTTTGGTTTTAGAGTACAAAAACATTTTGACAGATGCAGATTTCTACTCACCTGAGTGTAAGTGTCGCATATGATGACGTCAGCTTATTCTTCTTCTTGGGTTTTTGTGGGATCCGTCCTTATTTTTATTTCAATCAAACATATTAAAATGTTTACAGAACAGTTTGCATACAATCGCAAACGAAAACACATCTTAATTTTTCTTAAATTTATTTGGTGTAAATCATTGATATACTCAAAAATAGTTTTTTTTTTTTTAAGGCTTTTAAATCAAGCTAACAACCACAACAAAAACCCTCCGGTTTTATATTTTACTGAGTTATTTTTAAATACCGAATTAAAGTCCTTTGACCGATATGTCTGACATGTATTTGTAGTAAATATTCTTAATATCCTGTTCAAACTAGCACATAAATTGTAAATAAAGGTTTTAAAAAAAATAGAATAGACTCGTCATCTTATTCGTTCCTAGGTCGTCAGTATCGGACGCTTAGGGAGCGGTACAGCATTCAATGAGAGAACCCTTCGCGTCACATTTTGACGCCAAGGGGGTACCCTCGGCGTCAATATGTGACGCGGAGGGTACCTGCCCAAGCGTCAATATGTGACGAGTTGGGAGTGAGAATGTGTTGGATAAAAGCAACTGTACTGTCCCGACTTCACTGGGGAGCTCATTCTGCCAAGAACCTTGGCCAAGATAAGCCTCTGTGGGGTCCACAGAGAAAAGGCAGAGCCATCCAGAAATGGAGGCATCTAACGATTACAA